ACCCCCTTCTCTTTTCCCCCTCAACCCCCGTCCCTATTCCCCTCCCCGACACCCCCTTTCTCTTCCCCCCCTCTCAACCCTCCCCATCTCTCCCCACAGCTCCAGTCCCTCAACCTGAGCAGCAACAAGCTCTACCGTCTGGATGACCTCTCCGAGCTGGCGCAGAAAGCCGCCGGCCTCAAAATCCTCGACCTCTCTCGCAACGAGGTGGGTGCCACCCTCCACCGACATTCCACGACCCCCACATCTCTCCCCTCACCCCTTCTTTTCCCCCACCCCACAGCTGAAATCCGACCGGGAGCTGGACAAAGTGAAGGGACTCAAACTGGAGGAGCTTTGGCTCGATGGAAATCCTCTTTGCGACGCTTTTCGGGACCAGTCCACCTACATCAGGTCAGTGTTAGCCTTGGGGCGGCCCGAGGGGCCCGTGGGCCACCCCTGCTCCGACGGGGGGCAACACGGCAGGACGAAGAGAGGCCGCCCCCCAGCCCCTACACACCCACCCACCCCCTTCCCCGTACCTTCTGCTCGCCGGACACCCCCGTGTGTGTCCCCAACCCCACCTCAGGCTCCCACACAACCCCTGGTCGTGGTGCGAGGCCGCGAAGGGCCGTCGCACGCGTCGGCCGTCCTCCGGCAAACGTTTCAGCTGCTCGGAGCCCTGCTTTCTTCCTCCTCGTCCTCCTTCTCGCTCTTCCTCCTCCTTCTTCTTTTTCTCCTCCTTTTCCTCCTGGTCTTCCTCCTCCTTCTCCTTCTCGTCCTCCTTCTTCTTCTCCTCCTCCCTTGGGGTCCGCACGCTCCCTACCTGCCGCTCGCACCCCTCTGCCGCGCAGACGGGGTTATCGACACCGCTCTGCCCTTCCACGGGCTTTTTTTTTTTTTTTTCCCCCGGTGGCGGGGGGAAAACTACAGGACACGACACGGGGCGCCCCGGCGTGTGTGCCATCCCCTCCGCCTCCCTCCTCTCCTTTGCGCCCGCGTTTGGCCCTCAACGATGGCTGGTTAGCCAGAGACGGGTAAGATTCCTCACGGGAGGAACAACCTAAGACAGGCACAGCCGTGCAGTGGCCAAAACGTTACCGCTCAGCCGCGGCCGGTGGCGCGGGGAGACTTTTCGGTAGCTCCAGGCCTGACGCAGGCCCTTCCAGCTCGCTCCGAGCAGGCCCCCCCGTGACACCCCTGGGTGAACCTGACGCCGGTCCCCAAGCGCGGGTGAGGGTCTCGGCTTCGGATGCGACCGTACGGGGAGTCCGACCGTGCTCCCCGGGACAGGGAGGGAGCGGCACGAAGGAGAAGAGGCTCTGCCCTGGGGGTCTCCCACCTTTCTGGTTACCTCCTTCCCCTACTTTTCCTTCCCCCCCTCTCGCTATTCGCTCGATTGTGGCCCCCCCACCCCATCCCCGAGCCAACGCAGGGGCTCCGCAGCTGTAAACAAGCCGGGTCGTGCCAAGGGTTGTGCCACGACCGGCGGGAATT